CAACCCTAAAATAGGAAAGGTTTTAGACAAAGCCCAATAGAAAAGGAAAATGGTCATAAACAATAAAAAGTACACAGATGAAAATTACGAAATTAAGAATAATAATGTGGTAAAGCTATTTAAATAGTTTACAAACATTTTATTTTGAATACTAGCTTCTAACAAACTCAAAAGAAGTAGATGATCAAGTTCAGCTTTAACATCTCTTCAGTGAAATACTACACCAACTTAAATCGATTTTCTCTCCTTACTAAACTAATCAAATAAACTAAATGGTTCATAAAATCAAATGAGATACATTTGTTTTAATAAATAAAGAGATGAGAATGTATTTTGTTTTTTATTATTATAATGAATGTCAACAATACAATTATTGCTGAGAAAGACAGCTGTATCACTGATCAAAGAAAGTGGGCAGGTCATTTCCCAGAATGACTTTCTCCTCTGTGTTGTGTTCATCAATGGTGACCAAGTAGGCCACCCCCCCACTGGAACCGTCACGGTTCATGGCCAAAGCAAGAGCTGGAGGAAGAGAAAAAGAAAAAAAAGCTATTTGACAGGTGAGAAAACAAAGCGGCTATACATTCAATATGTAGTTTATACATCTCAAACTGTTATAATTATAAAATGAAAATAATATTTTTGTAACAGTGACAGTAATAACTTACTGTTAACCACAAACTGCTGGCACTCCTCCTTGCTCATTCCTTTTCGATACTCAGCATCAACAAATCCATAAACATAAGAGCTGCCTGAGCCGCCAACAGCAAAAGGCTGTCTGGTCAGAAGCCCGTTCAGCGTTGCAAAAACCTGTAAAATAAAGAAAAACAAACAAAAAAGAATTAGACAAATGATAAAATGAAGGTAACTGGGTATGTGAAACATAAGTAGTGGTATTACAATTCATGTTGTAGCAAATGCCATAAGATCACCAACCTGTCCTCCATCTTTTCTGTCCCATCCTGCAACAATGAGATGAGCTGACAGTTCCTCCTTGTATTTGTATGAAATGTTCCTCACCAGAGTGGCACCTGATCGAACCTTTGGGTCCTCACCTATTTCCATACTGATAAATGAAATAATGACTTTTACAGTACATAATGTTTAGCATGTGGAACTAAAAAATACTTTTAGAAACA